TCTCTTTAGATCCCTATATGAAGCCCATTGCTGGTTAAAATTAGCATATTATCCTTACTGGATCCTACTGTTGCTGACAAAGGATTCTGATCTAAAACTTGTCTGAAGATTCTTGCACAACAACCTCCTTGTATACAGTAGATTTTGCTATCTCAGATTCCCTAATCCTCATTAAAAATCTCATAAAGACTTCAGTTAGCACATCCTTTCCATGCTTTAGGATTACTGCTCATATTTCTGCAGCAAGACAAAAATAAGAGAAGAAAGATGTTTAACCATATGTCCAGGTAACACTGTATTTTGATAAATCAGGCACCAAGGATTTTCTCACTCTTTATGCTTTTTTATTAAAGCTTAATTACATATCATGTGGATTATTTACACAGTAAGGGCAGTGCTTAGCCACTCAAATGCTGAATCTGTTACTGACATATGATTTATAAATACATAAAATCATGTATCCTAGGGACTTTAGGGGAGACAAAGCAAGACATCACCCTTGCTCAATGAATCTACAGCCTAAATTCTATGTGATCTACCAAGAACTAGTAACAAGCAGCAGAGACACAGATGAAACACAGCAGTTGTTTAATAGCATATAAAATTTAAGCACATACTTGTACTGTGGCACATTCTTCTATCTTTTGATAAAATACAAGAAAATAAAGATAAAATGCAGTAAATATGATCAACTACACAATACAGCATTTTCATAGAATATAGCAGAGAAAGAGAGAATGCTACACAAAATATTGTTACATGGGAAAAAAACCCCATAGGGAATAAAAAATTTCCTTTTGGAAAAAGAGTTCCAGCTAACATAACAGCCAAAGTAATTGTTAGGCCTGGCTCATGGGAACACCTACAAACTTACTCAGTCTCATTGACTAAGTATACTTTCTCTTCCATTTCAAAGAATATATGTAATTTCACATATCAAAAAGCAGTAATGCTGGTCCAAAAGGCAGTGAGATGTTTTCCATGCTGGGTTAATATCCTGGGATGCAGAGGAAGCCAGAAAGAACAATTCACACCAGTGGCGATGGTGTTATGCATACGCACTCAGTGCTGCTTTGCAGTTAGCACTTGGCTAAGTTTGTTGTATTAAAAATAACTCACTGATTAAAATGATTTCATTATTTTTAGGGTTCAGTTTAACACTTTAATATACAAAGCTTTGCAAAGTGATAACAAAATTCAGATCAGTTCCCTGCTGGGAGCAGGACCTGGTGACTTAAAAGTCAGCTAGTTTCCTGCATGAATTGTTTACTTACAAAACATTTTCTCAAACAATATGTTAGAAATAGCAACACAGGCCTCCCTTGTTTGCAAACTTAACTAAAGTGTTACCCTGTTTCCAGTGGGAGTTGTCTTCTAAGTGTTTGCACAAGGCTCAGGTAAGCCTCACTGCTCCATCAGCAGATTCTTTGTTCTCACTATAAATCCCTCTGCTACACATGCTTTCCCAACAACCGCTCTACCTGGAAAAGTGGATCTGGACATCTTTTGTGAGTGCAGAATATAAATGAGCCTTTGACCTCCAACGACCAATAGCTGCTGTGTGGGATCTTTACCTCCTCCTGTGGAAAGTTTCCCTCTGGACATTTTAATTGGTTATCACAGTGGTGCCTTGGGATAAGCTGAAGTACCTGAGTGTGGACTCAAGGCCTAGTCACCTGTCTTGGGAGCCAAAAGTAATTGAAATTATTTTGTATATATATATACACCAGTCATATCACTCATTTACGTGCCTTTGGTATACACACAGACATAACTTTTTATCCATGCCACTTACATGGCCTTTCTATGCTCTATGCCTATTTTTGAAATAACAATATTCCTACTGACTTCAGTTAAGATTTTCCCTCATGAGCAAGACACACCACTGGTTATAATAATGAGAAAAACCTGAAGAAGAAGCAGAATGCTGTTAAGACATGAATGTGGTGATTACAAAGTTTGATTAACACAGAGAAGCCAAGGCTCACTCTTATGTTACAAACAGAAGGTTTCCTGTCCTGCTTTACCAGTGTATTTCCTTTCAACACAGTGGACTATTTCTGGGATGTATTCTACACCTAGTTTTACTGCTGATATGGATATAGAAATATGTATAAAGTGTTCATGTGCCATAGCTCACTAGAAATTATCTGTCAGCTCCAGATGTGGATAACTGTTGAATAAAAACAGATCATCAATTGATTTTTGCAAAGGCTGTGGAATGACAATTTGACAGTAATTTGGAGCACATCTTGAATGCACATAGCATGACTTTGAGACAGCAGCCTAGACAAAAAGGACACTGTACCCAATGCCCTCTATCCCCTTCAGTAAATACTTCTGCAGTTTTAAAATGCTACATGCTATTGGGCAGCCTCTGTGAATAATGATGGAGTTGGTTTTGTAATTTCTCTGGCTTGTTAAGGGTGTGTCCACACACACCACATCCTTATTTTCTGTCTGAAAGCTTGAGGATGGTTTATGTGAAGTGAAGAGAGATGTACCTCCAAACAGGGACAACTTCCGTGTCCCTTAGGCACCTATCATAGGAGCGAAGGGGAGATGTTGGATCACCTGGAGGTATCCATGTCTCCCCATGATTTATACAATAAGCCCAGCAGACCAGACCACACACAGAACTTTGACAATGCTAAATTTAAGAGCAGCCTGTTCAGCCTCTGTGAGCTGGCAGATGAGTGGACTGAGAGAAAAACTTTTCATATCCATCTAGCTTTTGCACAGATACAGAATTCAACCTCCAACAACATTAAAACAAACTAAGGATAGGAACAATTTGGCCAAACACAGACCTCTCTACAGATGTCTCTTGCTTGCTTTCTCTTTATAGCTGACAATAGACAGAAATAGAAACTTTTGCATTCTTCTTCTTAGGTGATTGACAGCTAATAGAAGCAATTAGATAATTTGTTAAATTAACCAATTAAATGGGTTAGATAAATTGTGCGTTCCAAGTATTCTCTCTTTCTTCACTTAATTTGAAAAGGGAGGATAGCATGTGAGGTACAAAACCTAAAATGAAAGCAATAACATAAACAAAATAAATTACAAAAACTCATTTTCATGCCTAACCTATTTTCTGACTCACCAAACTTATTCATAGTCTTGTTTCCAATGTTATTTATTATTAAAGATTCAAACTTTGAGTTGGACACTCCCTGGGAAGGTGGTTATTGAAAGCACCTTCATAAATACTCTTGTAGCTTGCATCCAATTGTAGGATTGAGGTGAGGATAAATGATGCCAAAGGGCACTCCACATTGCTGTCACTGAAACCTGAAGAATCTAGCTTCCTCTTCCATGGAAGCAGTGCCTTAAACTGGGGGCTTGAATTGTTATTTTAAAATAGTACAGTGGTGTCTGAGGCATATAAAATGTGTGTATATGTGCATTTCTGCACGTGTGCACACAGTTGTGTGCAGGTGTATGAATCACCTAGAAGCTGGTCATCCTGGCATCTCCCTTAAGGAAATCAGGGTTGTGAGGTGGCTTGTCTGCCACTGCAGTTAACAACCAAAATGTATTCTATACTAAACTTATAGATTTCTATATTTGAAATTTATTACAAATGCATAGAATTTATATTAAAGCATTATATAAAAAGCACCTTACATAGCAACTATTTGCATATTTTCTGGATTTTTAGAATTATATTTGACCACCTAGTAAAAGTCAGCAACTCTACTTTCTACTGCATCTGAACGATCCCAGGTACCAACTAACATGGAGCCTTGCTGGAGACCTGAGGAGACCAGATGGAGTAACAGCAATTTTAGTGATTATTGCAGAAGCTCTGACTGGAAGGGGTGGTTGGGAGAGAAAGCACTCATGCACCAAACTAAATTATATGACACTTCCTTTGCAATAGGCCAGGTAGCAACCCAAGAGGCACCACAGTGTGCTGGAGTAAGTACTCACTAAGATAAATTAAAAACAGGGCTGCCCTTATGACATGCTAGGAACTTAAACATGACATTCAAAGCATAACCCGACTGGCCTGGGGCTAGGGAAGACACACTGCCTGGTGAAAAGCTCTGTGAGAAACCAAGCCAGGGCTCGTCCTGAGCGGTGTGCTCATGGCACCCACCTCACCATGGCCTTCATATCTGCAGAGGTAACAAAACACAAAGCAGAGTGGGCCTGAGTCACAAACCACAACACCGCAATAATTCAACACCCTGGAGGGAAGGGATGCCCTCCAGAGGGACCCTGACACACTTGAGAGGTGGGCCAGCGTGAATCTTATAAAGTTCAACAAAGCAAAGTACAAGGTTTTCACATGGATTTTGGCAATCCTGGACATACCTACATGTTGGGCAGAGAAGTGACTGAGAGCCACCCTGCAGGGAAAGACTTAGGTGTGATGGCTGATGAAAAACTCAACATGAGACGGCAGTGTGCACTCATAGCCCAGAAAACCAACGGAGTCCTGGGCTGCATCAAAAGCAGTGTGGCCAGCAGTGTTAGGGAGGTGATTTTCCCCCTGTGCTCTGGTGAGATCCCACCCGTAGTACTGTGTACAATTATGGTGTGCTCAGTGTAAAGAGGACATGAAAGTTTTGAAGCAAGTCCAGACTGGAGCATCTCCCCTACAAATGCTGAGCAAGTTGAGGATGTTCGATCTGGAGAAGAGATGGTTTCGTGGAGACCTCTGTAACCTTCCAATGTCTGAAGGGACCAACAGGGAAGCTGCAGAGATGCTGCATCTGTCCTTGTTGTGATGGGACAAGGAGCAATGGGTACAAACTGAAAGAGGGAACTTTATGTTAGACATCAGGAAGAAATTCTTAACTGTGAGGACGGTGAGACACTGGAACAGGTTGTCCAGAGAATCTGTGGATGCCCCATCCCTGGCATTGTTCAAGGCCAGGTTGGATGGAGCTTTGAGCAACCTGGTCTGGTGCTAGGGGTCCCCACCCATGGCAGTGGGATTGAGGCTAGATTTAAGGGCCCTTCCAACCCTCCTAATTCCAGGCCAGGGGAGGCTGGCGGGGCCGGGCCGGGCCGGGCCGGGCTGCTGTCGGGGAGGGGACGCGGAAGGCAGCGGCGGCACCGGGCAGTGCCGCCCGTATCTGCCCGCCGCTGTCCCTAGGCCTCGGCTGCGTCCCGGGGCAGGGAAGTGCTCCCCTGGGGACGGGAGCTGCCCCTGCCGGTAGAGAGTGCGGGCAGCGGAGGAGTGGGAAGGGGTGGCATGGCATGGAGCAGGGAGGAGGGGAGGAACAGTGCTGGCACCAGACAAAGCGGGCAGCGCTGGGCACGGGTTGTGCTCCTCTCACCTGCGGGTCCTCCGCCGCTGCTCGGTCCTTGCGGTGTTCCACCTTACACGGCTTCACGCAGCTGCCCGGTCACAACACGACAAAAGGCAGGATAGGAGCTGAACTAGCGATACTGTTTTATTTTATTTTTTAGGTGTGTACTTTGGGATGCTTCACTTCTTGTGGACTGTTATTTGCTACCAGTGCAGGCTGACAAATGGGCATCAATTGGATGTGAACGGACATGGTTAGGACGAGAGAACGCAGTCTTAAGCTGTGCCAGGGGAGATTTAGGTTGGCCATGAGGAAGAATTTCTTCACAGAAAGGGTGGCTAGACACTGGAACGTGCTGCCCAGGGAGGTGATGGAGTCACTGTCCTTGGAGATGTTTAAGTAAACATGGCACTTAGTGCAATGGTCTAGGTGACATGGTGCTTTTAGGTCATAGGTTGAACTTGATGATCTCGGAGGCCTTTTCCAACCCAACTGATTTATTAATTCTGTGACAGTGGGAGGTAACAACTACACAACTAATAGCTGTGATCTGTGCAGTGACCAGCAAGTAAATGCTACACAGAGTATGCCTACATGGAGAGGCAGTATGATATCTCAAGAGAAAAGTGAAAAGACAAATGCGCACAAATTTCTTTTTAAAAGTAGTGTGGGGAATTTTTTTTTTTTTTTTTTTTACGTGGTGGGGAGAGTTTCACCACAGCTGGAAGGGTGGTTGGTCAGAATGAAGTGGCATAATGCTGGTAACTTCAGGCTGTTAATAGAAAGGGCTACCTGATGATTTACTCATGTTGAAAAACAATTTCTGTTATTTGAGAAAGCCACCTCCACAACGCAGGGTGGCCACTTTGAGTGTGTAATAGGTGCCAAAGGAACTTTTGTCTCCGTTGTATCTCAGTCCTAAACCACACCACGAGTCTGGTCCTAGCAGGAATGCAGTCAGTGAAGTAATCTGAAATTCTTGGATTTCGCCTGTTTTGTTGCTCATGAAAGCAACATAAGATTTTAGATAGATAAAATTGCCATATATTGCAATTTTTTTTTTTTCAAACAGTAGAAGTGTGTGTGAAGTGGCTTGTTTTAGTGCCAGAATATATTATGGGAAGAAACACAGCAAATGGGGCCTGAGTTTAAAGTATACTATAATAGCTTATTAATTTTTAATTAATAATAGCTTCTAATTTCAACAAGTTGAGTGTAGATGTTGGTATAATCTAGGTAATTAACAGCAAGAGATGCTAACCTGTGGTAAAAGTACTGTTTTAGACTGTAATGTAAGCATCCAGTATTCCCTCTGTGCATTAGTGTATAAAGATAATTAAGAGATTTCCCATTTACTGTCTTTTATCTAAGACACACATATTAAATTGCATTAATCTTTCTTTAGAGATCATACGAGCCCTTGTTTTTGTCATTTATACATTCTTTGTAATTTGTTGATGTTGCTGTTTTTTTTATAGTCAAGTGAAGGAAAACTGCTCACTGCTCCCAAATGTGAGATTAGCAAAGCTGGTGTAAACAGGAATTATTACTTCACTGGCTTTAAAAATCAAACCTGGTGTATGCATGACTTGCATGTACAACATTTGCTTCTCTTGAAATAGTACAAACTCTTCCCTATCATGTGCTTTTCCAGGGATGGCTCAGGGATGAAATGTGCCATATTTCTTTTTTTTTTTCCTCTAAATCTAGTATCTGTTACTTGTTATGTTTTCACAGGCATCCTTCATTTCACAGCCCTTTGAAATCTCAAGTATTTTTCTGTGTACTTCCCACCTTTTCCTCAGCAGTCTGGTTGGTGAATAACTCTGTCCTGTTTCTGCTTGTATGGGATAAAATTGTGGTTATTGAGGAGTTGCATTTGCCAAACTAACCAAAATGAATAGGTAGAATCATATCATATCCTGAGTTGGAAGGGACCCCTCAGGATCATTGAGTTCAACTTCTGGCCCTGCACAGGACATTCCAGCAATCACACCGTGTGCCTGAGAGCATTGTCCAAATGCTTCTTGAACTCAGGACTGGTGCTGTCACCACTTCTCTGGAGAGCCTGTTCCAGTGCCTAGCCATCCTCTGGGTGAAAAACATTTTCCTCATACCCAGCCTAAACCTGCCCTGACTCGGCTTCATGCTGTTTTTTCAAGTACAGTAATCATTAATTGGATGGGTTCCCTCAAAGATGGAAAATGGATTTATATACAAAAACTCCCTATAAAAAAAGGCAAAATAGACTGAAGAGATCTAGTGCTTTTGAATGCTTTAAATTAATTAGTGCCTTGTCCTATGAAATCTGTACAGAAGCTGTAAGGTGTTTTACTTTGTCAAGGTTTTCTGTGCTTGGAAGAAGGCAGCAGTGAATTACAGTCTTAGAAGCCTTTCTGTATATATAGCATGAAGAGAAGAAGGGTTAGAAAAAGGGAGTTTGCCCATATAATTGAAATAGTTATAAATTAAATAATAGCCTGAGTGGGCGATATTGTAGATGGACTTTAATGTATTTTGAAAGAAAATATCTCTTAAAAAAGTTTTATTCCAGGTCTAGTCCAAAGTGGTTTTTGGAGTCCTGTCTTGTAAAAGTAGAGGTAACATTTTGGTAGTCCTCTGAACTCGTCTGATTTGGGGCCTGTGCAGTCTTGCTCCCCCCTCAAGCCATCATTCACACAAGATGGTGTGGGGAGAAGAACAGACTAAAAACTGGTTCTCGTATTTCATAGCACTATTTCAGTCTATTTAATGGTATTGACAGGAAAAAAAAAAATATATATATATATAGAAGACACAAAAGATGTAGAAGGCTGCTGCTTGGGAGGAGGATAAAAAGACACACTTATAAGAAACCTTTATTAGGCTTTAGTTTAGCATAATTGTGCCTGTATAAAAAAAAATTAATCATATACAACAGGCCAAAGACCCAGCCAGAGATCAGAAGGCATAATTGCATGGGTCTAAGTGGATCTCTTTAAAATAATCAAGCAGTTTGAGAGAAGGGGGACTTTTCAACATAAACTTTGCATGTACATGAGCTCCCGAGCTGTTTATCTTGATGCTTTGCATAGACCCGTGTCTGCATTTTTATCTTTTTTTGCAAAGTTAAATCCTGTTAATAAGAAATCAGCTTGACCTCTGGTAGTTCCTGGAAAAATCTTTTTGTATCATCTGGTCCTACTGATCTGTATTTAATGTAATTCTTTCACTAGCTTATTATCCTTTAACCTCTGAAGCAATTTTTCATTTGTCTTTTTAACTCCACACAATTCTTAATGCTTCTTTTAAAATGCCAGAAGAATTCCTATTTGTATTGTAGTCCTAATGGTTATTTAATCCTTTTTTTATAGTAGTTTTGTCTTACTTGTTATAAGCTACTATATCTGATATTGTTTTTAACTCTTTAAAACTAATTTGCCTCCACTTCTGTTGTTTAGACTAATAAGTTTACATGAAAGCTTTCTGTTCCTACTTAGTTACTTTTGACCCTGTTGACCAATGCCAGCCAAAATTGTGTCAGTGTCAAGGATTTCAAATTTTTACAGGTTTTACGAAATTATCAATTTGCTAGAGGGAGAATGACCCAAATTAACATTACTGCTAATGGAAGATCTGCAGCATGATTTAGGTTATTTCCTCTCTTAGACCTGGCTTAAACTGGCCAGCTAGCTGACATACAGCTCTGAACTGTTGGGTGGTTTTGCTGCTCTTGGACAAGCTAAGATAAGGAGCACAGCTGGGTTTTACAGCAGTGCCACAAGAGCTGCAGGCTGTGGCCAGAGGAAGCCTGCAGTTTGTAGTGCAGATGTCAAGTTGTGTAGGTTGCTTATGTGAGATAAGTGATTCCCACTGATCTTCCAAGTACCACAGCTGAATGAGTCTTAAAATTGAGATCTGTAAAGCCGTATTTTCTGTGGAGCAGCCTTCAAATCATCTTAATCAGTAAAATTTTGAGTTTGAAAGTGATGTATATGCTGATCTAGCCATGATTCCCGGGCTTGATAGCAGAACATTTGTTGAAGTTTAATGTCTGTTGGCATATTCTTTAAATAGATCTTTCTTTTTAAGAGGGGAAAAATCCAGAAGGAGAATGTATTTGTAATATTTACTTACATCTTACATCAAAACATCTCTACTTTGAAAAAATGAAATAGCTATTTTCAGTTTGGAGTTGTTTCTTTTTTTTTTTTTCTTTTAAGGAGGAGAGGTTCAGGGTTGTGCTACTTTTTTTTTTTTTTTTTTTTTTTTTTTCCCAGTGTCTTTTCCTTAGTTTCTTAATTAAATTTTTTTTTTTTTTTTTTTTTTTTTTTTTTTTTTTTTTTTCCCAGTGTCTTTTCTGAAAGGTGGTTTAGGTTGTTTGTGGGAAATGTGACATTATTGGTTCTTGGCATTTCAGGGGAGCTTGAAGCAAATCTGGCATATTGTTTTATGCATTCCCTTCTGCACTGAGTATCAGGAGTAATTCATGTCCTTGGCAGCTACATCAACATGTGAAACTAAACAAAAGACCAATACTAGTAGAAGCAAGAAAGTGAGAATTGAGCACTTCATTAGTAAACTTTCTTTCTGTCATGAGTAAAATGGGCAAATAGTGCAGCCTCTCCTTATCTGTTACCACAAGTCCCTTCATGCTGGAAACGTTCATGCCAAAGAGAGCTGTTTGTACATCTCTGTGTGTTTGTGAGTGTGGGAACAAGCAAACATACACTGTGGATCTGTGTAGAGACTTTAAAAAGTTTCCATTTGTTTAATAATTTACCCTACTTTAAACTTATGCTTCCAAAAACGCTGTAGCGGGGTCTCACTTTTACCCACTGCAAACATTAAATACGTGGTTTGCCTGCCTGGCAGTGTGAAGCAATGTGTTCGTTGTTTCTTCGGCAATAGAAGGGTCACTCACATCTGTTGGTTCAGAGATTACCACAATGTGTATCCTATGGTAAACTAAGCAGCAACTCCAGCACTGGCTGTTGAAGAAACATTTATTCTATTTTGAGCCATGCTTAGTCATCCCTCTAACAGGTTACAGGCATTACTTGTTATTCTTAGTAAAGCTGATGGAGAAGGTAATGAGAAGGCCACTTTGTGAGAAGCAGTTTGTGGTGCTGGAGAATGTGAATTCATAGTCCGTGTGTTGTGTAGTGCCAGTGGAAATCGGAGAATACACTGCACATTTCGTTGTGTGTTGGTAAAACTCACAGTTTACATCATGCAGGTATGGAGCAGCTGCTCAATATGGGACAAGCATATGTAAGAGGATCTTTATTAGGAGGGAATATGATACAGCCCTCCTGTGTCCTGTAGAGAACATTCAGCTATAAATGTTTCTTCACTGTTGTAAACAGAAAACTTTAGTTAAGTAGCTTCCCTTTAATTTAGCTTTTTCTAATTGCTAAACCTGCTTTTTTGATTGTTTTACCTGTGTTGGTGTAGGCTGTGTAAAACACATTGGTATTCTTAATTAATAGTATATTTTGTGTTGGGTTTTTTAAGTATGCATATCTAGTACATTTTGTGTTTAACTGAATTGCTACTTTAATGAAAATATTTTCTCTTGTCAGAATTAAAATGCTTTCTATGGGGACTTCTGCTTCTGATGCCAGGACTCTTTTGAAGACCTCATTTGTTGCCTGGTTTAAAGGAAGATGATGTTGTTAGTGAATTCTGAGCATCCTTCAGGAGGCTGATGACCCTTCTGTTGTTGGTGTGTGCTGTCATGGACAACTTCAAATGGTAAAGGCAGTATTTTTGTGGCAGTATTTTTGTGACTGTTTCAGATTAGCACTCTGATAGAGAAGGCAGTGGGTCAAATTTAGATTAACAGCTTAAAAGCTCATTCTTTTTACTCTTAAAACCATTTACACTTTTTAAAAGAAAGTAAAACCATTGGTTTTAAGAAGCTGTGTCTTCACAATGGGAAGGTGTATCTTTAGATATGCTTTCACAGTTGTTTACAGCGTGGGCCAAATTTCATGTCATACTTGAATTCATTTCCCTGAGTCACTGCAATTTTTTTTTCTTGTAATAAATCTCTAAAGAAATTGCTTATTTTGACCATTAGTTTTTTTTTGTTGCTTGATGGCTGTTTTTGGCTAATGTTTCTTCATAGTCTTGTCTTTTTTTAAACAAAAAAGAAATGTGAAGTAAGGTAAAAAGTAAATGGGAAGCCACACTTAGTAGCTTCCAACTAAACAATTGTCTTACAATAAAATAGAATAATTTATTAATATTTTAGTAGCAGCACTTTGTTTAAGACAATATTCAAAACAGCACAATTTGCTTTCTAAGAATCCTGTATCTGCTCACTGTGTTTATTCATTCTGTTTTATCAGCTCCTTTCCAAAACACCACGGGCAGTTAATGCAGCTTATAAAGGACTCCTGACTTTTTGCATCTTCCTAAGTCCTATCTAGATGCCACCAGTGTTTCCCATGTTAACAGTTCTGAGCATGTTTTACTACATGTGCCTTCGGCGCCGAGCTAGGACAGCGACGAGAGGAGAAATGAACAGTCGGAGGGCTATTGAATCGAACACCCGAGCCTTACCTATCAACGTTGAAATAGTTCAGTATGCCAAAGAAGTGTTGGATTTCAGCTCTCACTATGGCAGTGAGAACAGCATGTCCTATACCATGTGGAATTTAGCAGGGTTTCCCAACGTGTATCCTAGCTCTGGTGACTTTACCCAAACTGCTGTCTTTCGAACTTACGGCACGTGGTGGGATCGCTGCCCGAGCGCTCGGCTGCCTTTCAAGAGGACACCATCCACCTTCTGTAGCCAGGACTATGTGGAACTTGCTTTTGAGGAACCAGTTTATCCCACTGCAGTGCACATTCTGGAAACCTATCATCCTGGAGCTGTAGTCAGGATTTTGGCATGCTCTGCAAATCCTTACTCACAAAATCCACCAGCTGAAGTAAGGTAATTTTTTTCTTCTTTACGCTTTCCTGTAAGACGTTACATGCTACAAATGTAGCTCTTTAGTGAACTTTACTTCCCAATATGTATCAGTTTTGTATCTGACTAAAATTTTCTTTATTTCTTCATGTTTTTAAAACTGTGGTATCTCATTTTGATTGCAACTTCAGAGATGTAGACTTTTAAAGGAATTAATGCATCTCCTAATACCAACTTTAATTTGTTTAATTATAGTTTTGGTGTTGGAATTTTTATGGGCAGTAATTACTATGTCTGTATAAGACACTACTTTTGAAATGGTAGGTCTGAGCTGTTCCTTCAGTAGGAAGAGGAAATTGTGTAAAAGAGGTTGAGGATTCATGGCTGCTGTATCATCCTGCTTCAAGTAGCCGTGGACTCTTTCTTCTCTGCACGCTTTAGGTTGAATGTATAGTACAATTAGGCACTGTAACTATTCATATGGAAATGAAGCTGAAACTAGAAGCACAGAGCAGTCAGACAAAAGGTGATGCTATTTGTCTGATCTTTATTTTTGGTCTGGTCACAGGGGGTGAGCTGAACTTGTTTTTACACTCACTTCATCTAAAAGCAGATTTTATCCTGTTGGTTTTCCTTATATTAGGAATTCTGGATGAAATTCCAGTTGCAGGATCAGGAGTTGGTAACCTGGGGAATGGTAAGATAGTAAAGAAAAACACTGTGTGTGAGATGAGAAGCTCTTAGTGAGGAGGTGAGGAAATAGGAATGGAAGGAGAAAGTGAACAGGTCAAACCATGTAGTGCGGATCACATTGGGAAAAGCCCTCAGTATATGCAATTGAAGTATTCCATATCAAAAAGAGATTAAATGATACCAAAGATATAAAGGAAGGGAGAGCTGATAGAAGAAATACTTAACAAAATGTGTTCTGTAAAGATTAGTATGCCAACAAATACTATATTGCTATGAAATACACACTTTGGTGGTATAAGCAGTATTGGTGTGGATGTAGGGTGATTTTTTACTGACTTATCTTTTACAGGTGCCACTAAAAAGGTTTTTTTAGGTCCAACTTATTATCTCTTGCTTTCTAATACTGGGCCATTGATGTTCATTCAAAAACCCTTGGAAAATCAGATGTCATGGTTTATATTCAAAATTTCCAGTTAATATATTTTGTATGTATCTGTCATCTGCTGTGGTTAAGTGCAGTTGCTTGTTTTACAGATCTAATGAGAATATGATATGTTGTATAGCTCTAAAGTAAACATCTGAATTCAAGGAACAGCAGTAGGTCAAAATAATAATAACAGGCCACCTAACTTTAGAAGTATGAGTGCTTTTGGCACTGTAGTACAGAACTTATTTACAGAATGGTATGTGGTGAAGGCTGAAGCTTTGAATTAGCTTCAAATTCAGAAGCTAATGTGAAATGACTTCTGGACAATTACTCTGTGACCTTCCATTTTACTTTTTTATTTTGTAATGTAGATTTTATTTCTTTATGGTGAAGCACAGATTGGAGGAAAGCTCAGAAATAGTTAACTGGAGGACCTGTTTAATTAGGTACACAAAAAAAGAGAAATAGAAAATTGTACAGAGAGCTAAAGAGAGATGGAAGTAAAAATACTAATATAAAACTTTTGGGTTTGGGTATGGGCTTTATGACTTCTCTTGAGGTGTGGTCAGAGTGAGAGCTCAGATGCCCTTCTTTATAATAAAAGATGAAGTTTCTGTAGGATCTTACTTTTTAATTTGTAGGCAAGAATGGCCCCTGTCCTGCCTGCATAGGTTAACATTTCTGGTTGGAAAAAGGTTGTCTCAGGCATCCTTGGAAGGAGTAGTCTGCCTCTTCAATACTTGTTAGTCTTGATGCTGGAGAAGTGTTAGAGAGACCCTTTTTTTCTGTTTGCTTATCTTTCCTCAGCAGGACTTGTCTCTTTGGAACTGCACATTTGGTTTGTCTCTTTTCTTCTGAAGGAGGCAAATGTCTTATGTATGGTGTCTTGAAGGGAAGATAAAGGAACCCTTTCTCCACATGAGGGACACAATATTTTTTTCTCTGTTCATTTGCTCATCTTTATGAGAGGAATCTGAAGAGTTGCAAGAGTGCTGTCTCTTTTCTACTTCTCTTCTTGGTCTCTTGTTTTTACTTCCAAAAATTCTGTGAGATATCAGCTAAGAAATCTTTTTTTGAAGATGGAATGCTGCTGTAATCTCAGGTGATTCCTTGTTTAACTGATGTTTTGGTCTTGAAGCACTGCCATACAATATTCTTCAGTTAAAAAAGGCCATGACCTATTTACTCAAAAGGCACTTAGAACCTTGTTTTCCTCTTCTGACTGTTTTGATACTTTGTTTTTGATACTTGGTGTATTACCAATGAAACTTTTCGGTGCTGCTTTGTTTTATCAGCTGATGCTGTACATGTTTCTGAACACCAGTGTAGAAAGGGAAGGTCATTAGGAAAGTTCTCTTTCACCAGCTCCTACTTGATATACAAAGAAGGCCAAACTGTGAGTGCAGTCAAAACTTTGCTGTACAAAAACTTCTAGGCTACAAGTCTCTTTATGAGGAGCTAGTGTATCACAGTTCTTGCTCAAGGGAATTTTACATATTTTTGTTAAGAAATGGCTAACACCACACACTTGATCAATGTATTACTTTATGCTTCAGTTGCATGAAAGAGCAGCTCATGCAGATGTTCAGAAAATTCTCTTTGGTCATGTCTCTTTGTTTCTGGTGCACTGAGTACTGCTATTGCAGCTTTATATGGTGCTGTCTCAGGTGAGCTTTATTCAGTGTCTTTAGAGGTGGGGTCCGATCTTCATGGCATGGGAATAAACATTTACTTCTCAGGGGGTTTGTAATTGTTTCTAAGTAATCCTCATGCTTAGAACATGATAGTTTGAAGTTTTTTTTCATTATGGTTTAACTGATGTCCAGCAACTGGAGGATTCTCTGTCCTCTCATATCTTTCACTGCTTTAAACACAAAAGCCATTACATCACTTTTCTCTACATAAAACAATTTTTTAAAATCATAAATGTTAGAGGAACTGCTGTTCTAACACATGGAAACCTTTTGTGCTGTTCATTTGTGCCTCTCGTACCTTGGCTGGTGAGAAGTGTAGGTAATTCCTTAAACTATACTAACATTCCGTGTACAGATTTGTTACACAAAATACCTGAGTGCAGAAAACCCAAGAAAAGATTAATAGTCTGAGATTTGGGAAATGTTGTAACATAAAGTCTCAGTTTTTATGGGGTAAAAAAATCAATCCCTATTTTTGATTGTGTCGTATTATGATTATTTTACTAGTGTAGCCCTGGGACTTTGCACTGTAGTGCACATTCTATGTTTGTAGGGTTTGGTGATAATGCTGAATTGTCACCAAGCTTCAGCCAGTAGAAGAAGCAGAGCTCTACACACATGTGGTGGGGACAAATGCAGCATGAGCTGAACCCAACCAAGAGAGTTTCTGTTTTTCATAGTGTATTAGATTGATGGGTAAGTTATAGCTAGCCTCTGTGATGAGAAAAATTGGGTTTTTTCCCTCCTTTTTTTTACCCAGAAGGCTTACTCTAGATGATTCCCTAGTGGCTTCTTCAGTGTTAACCCTTTTGATACATTTTGATATTCTTTATAGTTAGTTGTTGTTAGTCTTTGAAATGGGAAAGTGAAAAATAATTGTTTCAGAACTTTTTCCTTTTATAAAAATAACTTAGGTTTTTAAGTTTGTAATATGAAACAAAAAATTGGTTCCTATTCTCCTGTTGTGCTCTTTTAAAATTTTATTTGACTGTTGTTTTTATGTCATATATATGTTATAGTGATACTGTGTATTCATGTGCTTTTATAAAAGCTCAGAGAATCAGAGATTCCTAACAGGTCTGGAATCTGTGGCTGTACTTGGGATGATATTTCATAGCATATGTCCTTCCTGCAATGCAGTGATTGCTTCTTCAGTAATTAGAGATTATCTTGTGATTAATTTTTTCTTGTTTGTTACAGATAAGGTGTGACACTTATTAGGCTTTTTCTCATGGATGAGGTACCATGATCATTTGTCTGGGACCACTTCCACTCTGCCTGTTGTTTATTTCTATTTAATTTGTTTAATTTCATGTCGTTTAGAATTTTGCTAGAAAATTGAGCATGGCTCAGTATTTTCAAGCTTAACTGTATTTGCTGTATGCAAAGTTTCTTTCTGTTTCTGATGGTCTTAAAGCCTGTAGAGACAGAAGCTGCTACAAACCAGAGGAGCAGGCTGATGAAGATGGAAAAAATAAAAGGCTCCCTCTCAATCCAATGGGAAATTTAGTGTATTTAAGCAGCCTGGACAGGGATCAAAATGTTTTATGGAATCTCTCTCCCCCTCCCTCACCCTTAAAAAAGGGAGTGAAACTAGAAAGGCAGTGTACTGAATGTAAAATATAATGAGTTCTTACTTGTAGAGTGGCATTCAGATGGTTCTTTCACTCTACCTTTTATTCCCCAAGAATCTCAGATGAAAACACCCAAAACACTGCTGATACCATCAACACATTAGAGTGTGATAAGGAACCTTCGGGCCTGTATCTCACCTATGTGTAACACACAAGTTCTAGACATTTGCATCCTTACTTAAAACTTGTTTTGACATCTTCAGGCGAACAGCTTTTTCTTGTTTCAGTGCCTGTCATAGAAAAATTAATTCTGAGTTTGTGCAATACGGTCATTTTTGAGAAGCTCCTAAAAACCTCATGTAGACAGAGCAGTTACTTGAAGTACCTTTTGCTGTTTTACATGTCCTGAGCATTCTTGGAATCCTGTCTGCTGTCTCTGGTATTTCAGAATTGAACTCTTGGTGGAAATGAAAATTTGCTTCATATTTTCTCGTAATAATTATACTGCTTTGAACTCTGCTTATCAGCTTAATCTGAATGATGCTTAAATTGTGCTCATGATCTTCCCAGTCTTCCCTGCCTTTTCTGTTTATGAGCTCACAGCTGAGGTTAGAGGTACACTTTCCAGGTTGGCTTGAACTAGTGTGCTGAAGCATCCCTGGCTTGTTTTCTCCTAGGTGATCTACAGATTTCTGCTGTGCAGTTGCTTGGCTAAGAGCAGCATGTGATTGTAATTGTTGCACAAGTTGCATTTTCATCAAAGGTGAAATATTCCCTGAGATTCTTTATGTTCTCCTTGTCGGTCTGTCTGGAGCTCTCCCTTCTATTGGGTTTTAACTCAGCTATTAGTTTCTTGAGGCAAGGCATTTATTGGATTGCTTGTAGTGCTTTTTTTACTTTCTACACCTATCTTGATTTGACAATACAAGAAACCTCAGCAATTGCAAGCAAAGTTTAATCTTGTATTGCTGGAGAGAAATCTGATTGCTTTCCCTAGTAGCCCCTTTTTCAAAGACTCTCTTATTACATATATTTCTTCCGAAGTAACCAGGTCTGCTCAGGAATCATCTTAAGCATTAAGAACCTTTCCAACAACATTAGGTCAACAAAAAATTAGGCAAGCTTTAAATATGTGCTATCATTTGACACAGACCTTCCAAGTATGATTCTCAGCCTAGAAATTACCAGACTGTATTTTTCTTCATGGTGGAGGAAGAGGGATGGGAAATGTTTTTTTTTGTTTTTTTTTTTTTTTCCCACATAGGTGTATGGAGTCTTTAGTATCAGAGAAAATTGAGTTCTTGTCTGTCTTCATGGCACAGAGAGAAATTTAATGGGAAAACTGAGTCGATGACTGAATGGCTGAATGGAGAAACTTGCTTAATGTCCTCCTTTTCTTCAATTACTAGAGAAAAGAATACAGGTGTTGCTGACTCTTACTCAGGCTTTGCCTGGCACTCCTTGCTGGAAGGACTGAGGCTTTCTAGCGCATAGCTGATGAAACCTTCTTATCAAAGCATTCTCAGCTCGACATCTTTGATCAGCTTTACTATATATCTGCAAGACTGGAGGACAAACAATGTACTACCTGAATTCATTTGATTGTACTTGATTTTTTGAGAGCTACTTAATTAACTTGGGGTGTGGGGCAGGCAGAAATCCTTTGACTTCTTTAAAGGTATTTATTGGAATTCAGTTTCTTTGTTTTGGGTTAAATAGCTTATTGAACATTGTAAGCTTGAAACAGATGCAGGTAGCCTTCCTAGGGAAACTGATTTTGTTACATATCCTCAAACCAGGACTGACTGTAAAAATGCCTTTCTTATGAAAGATTTTCAGGTGGATTACCATAACAAAAGAATGTTCCAGAACAGAATAATAAAATTCTTTCTGAAGCCTCTTGGAAATTTAGACTTTTTTTGATCCCTCTGTGAATTTTTCACTCCTGTTCTGATTACCTGCAGCCTCTTTAAGTGTCACAGGGGTGATCCTGGAGGAAGAGATCACTTCCACTTCTATTAATGGGGTAAGAGCGTGGGAAGGATTTGCCAGTCCTGACTCAGAGCAATTGCTATTGCCTGCTCTTGTTTGTGGTGCCACCAAGGCAGACAACATAATCAAATCAATCTGATGGGCTTGAGTTTTTCCAGATAAACCAAGAGCTAACTTCTTTGAAGTTAGATTGGTGGGCTGTTGATGAGAAGTAAACAGTATGGCAGGGACAGTGGAAAATTTTCACTGGTTTTGTTGTTCATCAGCGTTTGGTATGCAGTGTGGAGTTTCACAAGATTGTGAAATCATGCTACATGTCTTCCATTTTCTCTAGTTTATTCCAAAGGCTGGAAACTGACTACTGCCTGCTGGAGCTGGTTATTGCGCTACAATCTGATGAGATACATTATTTATTTCCAGAGCTCTTCTGCTGCTGGATGATCCTCTCTCCAGGGTCCAAAAGGCGAAGTCAATAACAGACCCATTCTGCTAAAAGTTGATGGTCCAATGTGTGTTAGATAAGTGAAAAAATAGCCTTTGAGTTTCCCTAAGGATACTTTGAGTGGGTACATGGAAGTGTCTAAGCAAAATGTCAGATGGTGATCTGGATATGTTCAAGGAAGGTCATGTGCCTTGCCAGCACTAAGTATTTGCTTAGAGAATCGATCTATGTGAGAGGATGTGACAGCGGAACTACAGCTGTTACTTTGCCATGAGTAGACATTCATTTTGCAAATTAATGAAATCTTTTCTTAATACTATGTCTCTCTTATGGAAACTGTTAATTTTAGGGTAGAATCGTCCACTCTCCTATGTTAGTACTTCGATGTGCCATATGCTCACTACTCTTGAATGTTTGTTTTTAGTTCATGATGTTTTTGGTTTTTGGTTTTTTTTTTCCTTTGGACAGAAGAGTTCTTCAAGTCTCCCATTCTGCTATAAGGTACTTGGAGAGCAGCATGATGTAGGATAGGAAAATGTTCATTGTGAAATGGAAGTTATGGCCAATATGGATTATTTTTCTTGATTTTCCTACTAGGCAATATCAAACTTCTATAAACCTTACTTATGCTGTGTGCAGTGTTTTAATGAAAATCCCTGCATTTGTTTAGCTTTGTGTTATGATGGAAAAAGTTAAAGCATTTGTTTCTGTGGTAAGTTCAAAGTAGTGGGTGTCTGGTAGGGAAAGCCAAGATGCTGAGGTACTGGTGAGCAGATAGAGTGCTTCTGAGATTCAGGACAGGACGTCTGAGAGAAATCCTTGAAGCTGGAACTAGGCTGATCAGAAATAGATGGTGTGCATGTTGAAGTGTCCGGATAAGTATTGAGGTAAGCATGTTGCCAAAGGGAGTAGCAGTAGTAGCAGCTGGAGGCTTTCTTCTTTAGGAATTAACTAGACTTCAGGGAGGAAAAACATGGACATAAGTGGCTGAAGGATTTCCAGTCACTAAGTGAGGACCTATGCAGATATAAAAGAGCGTGTTTCTGTTTTCAGGTCTGTAGGCAAGTTTGGGAGTGCTGAAGGTCTGAGGAATGTAGGACTTGGTTCCTCCAGATTACTCAGTTGGCAGCAGATTTCTCTGTCATTTGGTGGAGGAGATCTGGGGTCCGTGTGTGAAAGTAAGGATGTATGTATGGTAGTTCTGTGCATGCCTTGAACTTCTGTCTGTCACTGAACCAAAGAAGAGAAAGGCTTTTCACTTCAGTTCAGCAGTTTGGAAATTCTGACGTCTTTTGCAAAGGACCCTTTAAAAATGACTTGAAGTTTCTACTTTCTCTGCTAATTTGTCACTGAATTACTTCTAAAAGGAATATTTTGCTTGCCTAGGCAGATAAACAAAGTAAAATTCAATTATCTTTTAGTAATTTTTAATACTGTAATTTGGACAGGCTTGATATTAGAGAGTCTAGTGGTGGGGGTTTTTTCTTTTGTTTTGTGGGAAGTAAGAGATCAGATGACTCTCTTTGGGTTATGTGGCAAAACTGTTCCTTGTGTACTTACACTAACATGCCATCATGGTGAAGACATCAGCAATCCATTTGTTTCAATTACCTTACCTGTGAGTTGCTAGAAAAACTTGGGCACAGATAACACTAACACAAGTGACTATGAGTCTACACATCTTTTCAGCCATTTTTCTTGCTTGTTAACTACTTCTGACAGATGATGTTGCCCTCTTACTGTGCTCAGGAATTGCTTTAGTAACTTTGATTTTAATTCCTGTGCTGTATGTGTGTTGTCTTTTTTTTTTTTTTTTTCACAGATGGGAAATACTTTGGTCTGAGGCACCTACAAAGGTGAATGGTCCTCAGGCTCGGCAGTTCACACCTTGTATCAAACAGATAAACTTTCCCACAAACTTGATCCGGCTGGAAGTGAACAGCTCTCTTCTGGACTATTACACTGAATTGGATGCAGTAGTACTACATGGTGTGAAAGAGAGGCCTGTGCTTTCACTTAAGACTTCAATGATTGATATGAATGATATAGATGAAGATGAGGATGAAGAAAAATTTGCCTGTGGAATGGATGCCCTTAATAAACAGTTCAGCATTGTTACCCTCAGGGAATGGCCAACTAATGGATATTTTGATAAACTGCCTTATGAGGTAAGAAGAGAAATGCATGTTTACACTCATTGTCGTGATTGTTAAGGGTGCAAAGGTGCTTTACAGAGTATTGGTCAGGATTGTTGTTTTTTCTCAGTTCCTTGCATTCCTTGTGACTTCCTTCCTGCATTTACTGTACAGGTATGCCTGAATTCTGTAAGTCTGTCTGCTTCCATGGGTGGATGTTAGGTGTTTGCATAGTTACTGCACTCTTACTTCTGAAGGATCTTTGCATTCGCACACAGTTTTTACACCAGATACTCTTGCCTTGAATTTCCGGCTCTTGAACTTGTAAGCTTTTTAGCAGTTTTCCGGTAGGTTTTTAGTCCTCATACTTGAAAAGGAAAATACACAGAAGAGATATTAAAAGATTCAGTCAACATCTGGAAGTGGAAAGAGTTTGCAATAGTCTAAAAGTTTGTTTTCCTGTTTTCTGTCTTACAAAGCTCACAGAGCTTTGTTCATGAAAGTGCCATAATATTTTTATATTGTTATTAAATGAGCTTTTTCTATCCAGCTAAGTTTTGAATTGTGGTGCAGATAAAATATGTTACAGCTGGACTTCTGCATGCTGTCTTCTTTTTATGCTTGCTACTTTTATTCTGTCATTAGCTCAGAAAACAGTTGTGAATAAACTCCTTTCAGCTCCCCTGGCAGCACATTGGTTGCAAATTTGCTGAGAATCTGTAGATGAGTATTTTCTTTCTTCTAATTTGCAGTATAATGAAATTGTGGAGTATGATTGCTGAATACCATGTGCAGGCCAGGCAATTCTCAGCGGGGCACTGCTGTTTATGAAGGCTGGTACCCTGATTGGAGTAAGAATTGAGAGATGAAACAATTATCTTCACCTCTCCTGAAATAATCTGTTGGCCATGGAAAGGAGCCTTTACTTGCTGGTCAGACCTTTAGACTTGGACAGAGACAAGATTATTCCTGCTCTTCAGTGTGCTGCAGTCTGGCAGAGGAGCAAGTGTTCATTCAGTGTGGTAACTCAGTAGATGCTCAGAGTGCTCGTGGCTTGAACCAGACTTGTTTTTGAGAGGGAAGGTTAGGTGTTGCCACGGATTGAAGGGTGCTTGCAGAAATGCCTGTTCTAATCAAATAATATTTCAGTCTTAGCACATCTTTTGACTCTAAGTACCCCAGTTTGACACAAGAAGGCTCTGGTTGGGTGACCATGTGCCCTAGTAACCTGCAGAAGTTTACTGTGCTTGTAAAGAGGAAAGAGAAAGGAGGAGAATGTAACAGCTCTTACTGTCTTCTCTTGAAACTTTTCTTCAAACCAAACCTCTTGAGTTTGGTTTGGGGTTCTTTTTGTTATTGATGCAGTGGAATAATAAATAAGGAAACTAATTTTACCATGAGTTAGCTCTAGTGGTTGTTTGTTTGTTTGTTTTCCCCAGAGTACACTTGGTGTTAAATATATTTTACTGTTGATGCTTGCATGGTGGTACTGAAGTAAAGAAAGTACTTCGCATAAATGTTTGAAAGTTAGAAAACGTGTTGGTTTTAGTAATTCAAGGAAATTAATTGTAGATAAAAATTCATTTAAATATAGGAATTTTTCTTGTTTGAAAAGGCTGGATAAATTGATTTGTAATATACTAGAATATCAGAGAGATTAATCAATCTCTTTTCTTACTCACATGATCATAAAATCATGAAGGTTGCAAAAGATCTCCAAGATCATTGAATCAAACCATAAATGGTTGATTACACGTATTAAAATTTTAATTTGGAAAGTATTTGTAGTAGTAGTCTTGAAAGTAGTCTTGTTACTCCTATGAACTTCTGTCTCCATGTACTTTGTATTTCTGCTCTCCTTTTTGTCTACCAGCTTCCTTTTTTTATCCATTTTTTAACATGTTTGGCTTCATGAATAAATTTATATGGTCTGTCAATACCAAGAACATCTTTTTTTCTTCTGTCTTGGTTTAAAAAAACTAAAAATATGAGTGGAATATTTGTCAGAAAACTATAAAAAACTATTTCTCTACTGGTTTTGTGATAGCAGAAATCCCAGTTTCCTACTTTATAGTCCAGCTGGAAGGGTTGGGCATCGGAACAACAAAAATGTTGTACTTGGTGGTGTGGCAGTTTTTTATCATGATGGATATGGAAGCAGTCCTCTGCATGCTCTATTTAAGACTGACAAATGTCAGCTTTTTAGGAGAAGTGTTCAAATTGTGGATAAAGTAAGGCAATTGCTGACTCCTTCCAGTTTTGATTGGTGCATTACATGAGAAATTGTACCTTTTCTGTAGGTTTATCTTGATTGTCAATGTGTAACTGTCCTAAGTTTTCATAAACATGCCTGTTCCTTATTTAAGCTGTTTGAAGCTTTCTCATACTCTGTAATTCACAAAATATACAAGCTGAGTGGGTTTTGCTAAGTAGGCAGCAGTTCCTCCAACCCTTTTTTTTTTTTTGCCTTTGTAGAATTTCTGAAACTTCCATAGACTATCCTTTTGTAGATATGTTGTTCCTCAAAACGACATTAGGAATGGTTTGCTGCAGTGCAAACTCCAAAGACATTTTAGGATTGCTCCTGTCTAAAAAAGAGAAAAATGCTCTGCTTCCCGGGGCACAGTCTTCCTTAGAAGAAGCTGTAAATTTTTGGATGCTCTTAGTGAGAGAATTTTCCTTCCCTAACCTTGGATGGCATTAACCAGCACTTATTAGCTGTGAAGGACTTGCACTATCTGTGATCTTGTCTCCAGAACTACCTTAAAATTGAGGAAGGATTTTAGAGAAGAGACTTCATGTCCTTGTCTTCCTTCTCAGTCCATTGACCATCTTGTGCTGCTTGTAAAGTGGAAGCAGTAAGGCCTTAGTCTTAGTTGGCTTTGCAGGGATACTTGAGGCCTGAAGACCTGACCAAATTCAAAGCTTTTGGGAAAGCTGAAGAATACCTTCCACAGCATCCATGTTGTACAGTTTGAGACTCACCAAGATGTGCTGGCTACTAAAAGCCCAGCTTATTTTTCTCCAGAGTGGAGAGTCAGAAGACTCTGCATGCTCCAGTCCAAAATATATTTTTTGTAAAAATTTTGGTATAGAAAGATATAAATGACATCTTTGTCATTCCTTGAATCTGATTTTTCCAAAAGCTGCCTACAAGCTTTATGAACTGTTTGTATCTGCTGGTGTCCACATGCATTATTAAATGTGTGTGTGTGTGTTTGCTGGTGCAAGTCGTACTATTGTGGAACCAGGGATGTGTGTTTTCTTAAAGTGTGCTGAGAAGTGTCAAAAGCCCTAGAATACAGTCTTCTTCTTGTCTTCTCTCTTTGTGCACATATCCTTTGTCCTTTACCTGAGCATGTTTTAATATCAGTTCTAATTAAATGGATTCTAAGCTGTAGCAGCTCCAGCTGCAAGAATCAAAAAATTGCAAGTTATTCATTTGTCTGTTTCTGAATGAGTGGTTTGCATAGGCCAGTGTATTTTTTTTATTGGAAAACTATTTCACCTTCATGTGGAAGAACTGAAAAAGGAAATTGGTAGAAAGTACGAGTATTGTAGGTTTCACCAGCATCCATACATTATTTTCTGACAAAACCAAGTTGTGCGTTATTGTGCTCTAGCCACATAAAGTATTTCATAAGTGCAAATGGTTGTTGCTTGCTGTTTTTCAACAAAAAAAAACCTTAAAAAGCCAGAGAAACTTCTGGTTCAGTAAGTATTATTAGAAACTGCACCATTGGTAAAGTTTTGCCCCCTGTACTGGGGAGTGGAAATTCTGTGTGGGCTTATAGGCAAACTTTGTAGTGGGTGAGAAGCTTTTTATTTTTTTTTTTTTTTAAGATGTTATATGTTTCATTTGGTAGTTCAAAAAATATGCCTGGTTTAAAGCTGGCATGTGCCATGTTTTCCCTGGAAATGGGAGAGGAAGTATTCTTGTACTCTTAGTCTGTCAAAGCCTAAAAAGGCAATCAGTGTTGTATAAATTATATTTTGTTTTCTTTCCATGTTTTCCCAATAAACTTTGTTTTTACTGATTGATTTGTAAGAAAGTGTAAAATAATAATGATTGTCATAATTTTTCATAAAATCACAGTAAAAACTGTTGTTTGTGAGAAACTGCATTATGAAATTAGCTTTCAAAGCAGATACTCATTTCTGTAGCATTCTTGGAATCACCACGAACACAGAGTAGCACAGTACAGCACATCATGTCACATACTCATTATGATATCAAATTGTACTTTATGCTAGGGTACACAGACACAAAAAGTGTGTTCCTGACAGACACCAGACTCCAGGCTAATGGTGATTAATGGTTATTAGCCTGTATGTTTTGAATCTGTTCTTTTTGTTTAATCAAAAGCCAGGAAAAAGCTGGCTTTGACATAATATCATAGGAGTGACATTTCATTATATGTTTTCATTCTATATATTATGAAGTAGTGCAATTTCAGTAAAAAATAAAAACAGATTTTTTTGATTGAGATGTGGGCAATTTTCATCGCAGGTGTGGAAAGACATCCTGTGTGTTACAAAATACTCATTGAAGTCATCAGTTAGTGTAAATGGACATTGTTAAGTCATTTATAGTTTCATTCACCATTCTCTGTATTTCTCAGAAGTTACAAAATAACTTTTTTCTCATTGAACGAAATTTTTATTGCTTTGCTTTTATCAAATATTATGTCACATTAATTGTTGACATAAATTCTGCTAATTTTACAGCCTCTGCTGACTTTTCAGCTCTAGAAATTATGGGAGAAAAATCTGAGGGAAAAGGCATTAATAAAATAGATATTTAGCTGACTTACATAGTGTGGATTAGCTGAAAGTTTGCAAAAATCAAGATATTAATGTGGGATTATGTCTTTAGCTCCTAGTTATTTTGGATATATTAGGTTTCAAAATGTCAACAGGTTCCTAAATGTCATTTGGGCGCAAACTTTGCTGATTATAATATAACTGCAGTTATTATATATGCATATATACATTTTATATATATGCACATATGTGTGTATATGTGTGTGTATATATATAGGTGCTTTTATATTGAAAAGTCTTTGCTGGTCCTCTGCATCAATCTGAGTTCCAGACACCTGCAGAGCCAAAAACCTGGGCTGTTTCTAGGGCAAAGGACAAGCAAGAAGAGAAGATGAAAGGCTTGAAACCAAGTATGAAAAAAAGTGGAGTACATCAAACACTGTGTTTTTGCATTGGAGTTAAACTAAAATGTTTTAAGATATGTAGATCTTGTTGGAAATCTAAGTACTAAATCTGGAGCTGAGTAGGAAGTAACATTTTCCATTTTGCAGGAAGTTGAATTGTTTTGTTTTTCCAAAAATGAAGGGGGAAGGAGGGGAGGTGGAAAGTAGCTGCATAATAAAGTGATGCAAAGGAAGTACAATCTGGAGCTTTTTGTGAGAGCCAAACATTTTCATTTTACGTCACAGATTTTATTCTGATTTTTGGTGGATTTGTCTTCTGAATCCTTCTAAGACATTAAAATTAAACATGTTGGTATTTTGAAAGGACCACATAATTCTCTTCTGTTGGAGTTGATTTGTGAGTTGTAGTTTTTGTAATTTACACTGATTCATTTCAGTGAGTTACTGTTTCCCACTCTGCTTGAAAACAGTCAATTTAAGTTATATAACTTGAGTGCAGGTATTTACATCTGCTAGAGACAGCTCTCGTAAAGTAAACATTAATTTTTAGATTTCATTTTTCAAGTGCATTTTCTCTCAGTTCCTAAGATAAAGGAGATCTCTTTATTTTGTTGGGCGTTTTTATTTCCTAAAGAGAGTATTTATGTCTGTGTGCGTGTTGATCATTCCTTGGAAAGGAAAACAGAGTGTGAGAGGAGAGGAGGGATATTTCTTAGTTTTTGGGTGTGACATAAGTTATTACAAAAACTGTTACAGTGATGCTAGTCAGAAGGGCTGGTGGTTATTCTGAAGCTGAGATGATTCAACTGATACAGTTAAAAAGGAGTTTTGCCTTTCAGATTTGACTCTGGTGTAGAACAAAAATGCTCTCAAAGTATTACAGCAAGGAAGAGATGGTAAACGGAGATCTGATTATGTTTAATTTTTTACCCGGCTGCATAGTCCAAAGGAGAGGATATAAGATAGAAGACAAAACACTGTTTTTTAAAGCAGGGAGAAGAGGAATAAATCTGAAATCGGTTTAGGGTGTGGAGAAACTGAGACATGGTATAGTTTTTCCATGTACTTTGCAAATATCTCCCATCTTAAAAACCAAATACAGAGAAAAAGGAGGATGCCAGTTCTGTGTTCTGTTCAATGAAAGAGCAGACTTAGTGAAAGGAAATATATAAACATAGTGCTTACATATATATCACTGTTTAAATTAGCATGGGTAAAGAAACTTTTGATTTGAAAGCTTCCTGCCACTTTCATATGCTGATCTGCTTTTTCCTTTCTTGTTCAGCGTGTTTTCAAACTGAGAAGGCAATGCAGTTCTATTTAATAGTTAATCGATTTATTTGAGAAGTTACTTTTAAGTAAAAGGTTTTACTTTTCTTGAAGTTAGAACGCATTTTCTTATTCCTTTGCAGTTTTCCCTTAATGTTTTAAGTGCTATATGACCATCAGTGACTTTTTTTTCCTGTTTTTAATATAGCTCATCCAGTTGATTTTGAGTCACCTTACAGTACCAGACCTGTGTAGACTAGCACAAACTTGTAAGCTACTGTATCAACATTGCTGTGACCCTCTGCAGTACATTCATCTCAGTTTACAACCTTACTGGGCAAGGATTAATGACACATCTCTGGAGTACCTACAGTCTCGCTGCACGCTCATCCAGTGGCTGAATTTATCTTGGACTGGAAACAGGGGAGCCATCTCTGTTTCTGGATTTAGCAGGTCAGTGTTAAACGTACAGAAATGTTTTGACAAGCTCTGTTTGCAGAGCTGCTGCACGGTAGTTTCACTAAGTATTTAAACTCTATTAATAATAAAGGCAAAAAATGTCTTGGATTTTCTATAAAGGGTGTGATTGTTATGATGTAGAAAAAAGGAACAGCTAAAACAGTAGGAGATACTAAATATAGCAGCAGAAGTCCATAGCAGTCTGTAGAGTCTGCTGCGTGTTCCAAGCTGCTTGTGACTGAAAGGCTTCTTCCAGAGGGAGCAGTGTTTTGCTTTCTTCTGGGCTTCTAAAACACTCTGCTAGAACTGAGCTATCAAAAATCCATCTCACAAGGAAAATGTTTGTGGTTGTTCTTTGTACAGATGAGTCATCAGTAGGACAGTATTAGAATGGCTGCAGTAATAAACTGATTGCATGCTCACATGGTATGAGCCAAGTAATCACTGGAGTCCAATGTAAATGCAAATATTTTCATAAAAATGATTTAAAACATTAGCCCTGTTGGAAAACAGGGGGGTTGCATGTGCATATTCCAGTGAGCTGAAAATATGACTGTGGTGTAGATCATTAAAATAGCAAATTTGCAGGGATTCTTCTCTGTATAACAGCCATGTTCTCTGCTTTCTTAAGATATCATTTCTTGCTTCTTTGCTCATTTGCATTAGTTAAACAGCTTCTGTCAGTGCATTTCATTTAAGCAAAAGTTGTTGCTTCAACTAAGGGGTAATCAGCAATGGCAGGTGAAAGCAGAAATTGACTGATAAGAAACAGAAATGTTTAATATATCTGAACAAGTTGTCTTAACTCTCATTTGTTTTCTGAATAAAAAGGTTAACTCAAGTATGCAGACATTTTCTTTCCTTTCTTGTGTAAGTTCCTTACCTGAGGAAGTAAAATATTTTTAAGAAATATTTTGTCAAGATGGGAATGTCTTCTGTTTTTCCACACCCTCCAGTATAATGCAAGAATCCTATGCATTTTTCTGCTTATTGGGAGGAGAAAAAAAATAGACATCGGCTAGTTGTTGAATTCGCTACAAAAATTTCTCCTAAATTTGGATTTCATGTTAGATACTTTATACAGAAGATGAATGTGCAAGCTTTAATTGAGAATTCAACTCTGAAATTATGAAGTGCCTGCTTTCTGATGCTTTGCTATTAAGTCTGTCTTTTGAAAACTTAACATATGTGAACCTTTGTGGCAACTTTTTTTCATTTCCATGATTTTTGTATTTTTTTTTTAGTATACAATACTGCGAAAAATCTTTGTAGTCTTGGAAGAAATTATTGCCAGATTCAGAGACTTATAAACTTTACAGTTCTGGCATTTCTTACTTCTACTTAGTTGAAAATGACTTTATTATTACTAATTTTTTTCTTCAGTGCTGAACTACTAGTAACATGTATATGTATACAGTGTTTTAAAATAATAAATATTCATTATTTATCTATTAATAATCTGTGAGTAAATGTTTTCTGTTTCTATTTCTTATAAGGGATTATATTTATTTGTAACAAATGGGAAAACGTTTTGACTTTGTTGCAATTCTGAAATTATCTTAGTTTTAGGAAAAAGTGTTTCTTGGAAGAGATGGATGCAGTCTGGGAATGGGAGATGCAGTTCAGTTGTAAATTTTAGAAGCAAAGTTATAAGCTAAATAATTTGTATGTCTAAACCGTGCTTATCATTTTCCCTTGTGAAAGAAAAATTCTCCACTGTAACTAGGTCTGGTTTTAAACTTCTTTCTGTTACAGAAATTATTTTGTATCCCTTTCTTCTGTAAAAGTCTTTTCTAGTAAAATCCCCAACAGGAGTTTTTCTTTTGACAGTCTTTGTCAGCATGCTTGTCGAATTTGCTGGCTTCCAGAAGAGGAAAATTTGCTGCTCATTTGCTATGAAAGTATCTACTACTAGAGAGTCATTAGAACAAGACTTGCTTGTCACCGTTTTTCCTTTTGTCCAAAACCAGGACACATATATTTTTGCATTTTTCTCAGCATTTGGAGTTAGTTGGCAGTGTTGAATTCAAAACTGGTAGAGTTGGTTTAATTCTTACAGTTGTACAGTTTAAGTTAGGATTTCTGCAAGTCAGGGTATGTTTAAATGTTAGTCTTGCTTAAATCTTATTTTGGAAAATATCTTTCAAAACTGTTTTTATCTGTTGTTTCTTATGACAGTCATAAAAGTAGTAGCTTGTATAAATTTGTCATCTTAAAATGTTCATATATGCATGAAATTATTGAAAGTACTAAGAAATTATTTGAAATACATATTTTCTTCAAAAATGTATTAGAGTGAAAAGGAGTTAAAAGTAATTTTAGGAAATGTGACTGGAGCAAATACCGTATTATCATGAGAAGACAGAATGCTTCAGGCATATGAACATCCTGAGGCAAAGCTGAAGGTATTTTAACTTATTGATAACATCTACTCCTTAGGGCTAAAAATTACTATCATAAATTTTTCATTTCAGCATGTAATATAAATTAACTAAACTTTATATTAGATTGAAGTAAAAGTGTACAAAAAAGTGAAAGGAGTATCTGAGCAGTCTCAGGAGCCTGAAATGCAAAATGACGGAGAATAAGCAAAGATTTCACTGCAAGCATTACATAAGCAGCTCTGCATTTCTCTTGGCTTTAGTGGTCTGGTGAATCTCTTCATGCCAGGGGGAGATATCAGGGTGGGGAGGGTAGGACCTATATAGGAAGAGTGAGGGGAGTTGATTGAAGGAGTAGTAAATATTGAGATGCTGAATAAATGCTCTGAGGTTTAAACAGCTCAAGGACAATGACAGTTTGAAAACGGAGTTCTGCGTGCAGATTTCCTTGGATCACCGATAATGTCATTAACTTGTTTAAACTCTTTTGCTTTAAATATCTGAGGAATTAGGATTTTTATTTACATTTGACATTTTACACTGTGAAAATGAATTAATAGTGTTTTATTTTCAGGTTAGTGATGCAGTATTTGCATGGCAAGCACATCCAGGAATATTTCTGTAACAGTTTTGTTGTTCATGTTTGAAGGATTTCATTGCCTTTAATAGAAGTGTGTTTTGACAATATTTAATTTGGTGAGGCTTTGCTAGAAGTCAAAGTAGCAGGAAGGTCAGAGAAATTACTGAAATATGCACCAAACAGTCATAAAAAGTGGGAGTAATGTGTGACTTCACAGAGATTCTCAATTTAACAGTCAAGTCTGTCTCTTGCTTTAATTTCCAGAGGTTTTTAGTAAAACTAGGGTTGGCTGAGAGTAAGTTACAGCATTTGTTTTGCATGTTTTTCTTGATATAGTTTAATCTGTGCTGAGAAAAGCACAAGATCAGGTACTTGATATTCTACTTACTACATGCCATGTTTTAGGATTTACTTACCAAAAAGGAAGTGTAATACATGCTAGAGTAGAAAATAACATCGTACTAATTAGAATAGCTAGAGGAAGAGAAAGTGACTTATTTTTAAAACCAAATTACCTTACAAAGTCTCACTCTTAAGCACAAATACTTACATGTGCCAAGAGAGCCAAGATGTGTCCAAACTGAATTTGTCTGGCATGTGGTCTCACCATCCTGTGCTGCTCCTATCCTTCATCTCCTAATCTGTGTGCCCTGAGAAACTGTCTGCACAAGTGTTCAAGGATGTCAGTGACCTGCTAATCTGACTTCCACTAACACACACCTCTGTTCCAGCCCTTGTGATGCCATTTGTTTTTTCCTTCTCCTACACCTCTGTATACCCAGTTGTTTTCCACTCATACCAACCTTAACACTTCTGTTACAATTACCTGTGCTAAATGCTGCTGCTGTTGTGTAACGTGGCAGTCTTGAAAGGAAAAGCATCACTGTGAATTTAAAAATATATGAACAGGTTTTTAAGAAGGATATTAAAATCGAATTCTACAAACCATTTTATAAATGCAAGGCTGTAATTGTAAGGCAGAAAGTGCTCTGTGAGTTTGTGCAAGTAATCATATAGATAGAAGTAAGTAAGAAAGAGGGGATTTCAAGATCTCGGAACTGAAATGAGGAAGAGTAAAACCCATGTGGGTTTTGACATTTTGCTTGTCTGGTGGCAGGCTCTGGAAGCAGGAGACAGAGTAGCTGGAGGGAGCATGTAGTTGGCTTGAAGCAGACAAAAATAGTTGTTCTATGAAATACTGATTCGAGGAGGCTTATACCAAGGAAGGCCTGGCAAATGGGGCAGAATTGTATCTGTCAGGTAACAGAGGTAACATCCCTAACGTGGATGCTAATGTAAGGTAAAAGGGAAAGTTCTAGAGAAAAAAAGTCTGTCCAACCCTGTGTTGTTCACAAATGGAAGTTGGTTCCCTTTTCCACCCTCTTTCTTGGATACCAAATTCAAATACGTGTCAATGAGTATAAAATCAGTAGTGAAGATTTTAATTGAAAAAAGATTTGGTAAAATCAGCATAATAGAAGACTGTTTTGTTAATTGCACTAAAGGAATATAAAACTATGTAGCTCATTTCATTTAGGGAGGATGAGTAGATGAAAGAGAACAGGACTGTGATCCCTACTACTTGTAGAGTTTTCAGTAATTTTGAACTGGGACATACAGAGTAAGTGAGGATCATTAAGCTAAGAGTGAATTACAGGTTCTAGATCCACCAGAAAGCATTGGAGGAAATGTGTTATGTTCAGTACCTGCATAACCACATGTCTAAAGGTCTTTTGGGAATTTTGTTTGGGAGGTCTTACATTCTGACGTGAAGAGTACTATCTCTTGTACGTTGGATTTTAATTTTGGGTCATGAGATATGCTTATGACGGACACGTGAATTACAGTATTGGAAATTGTTAGTGGGCTAAGTGACCCATGAACAAATATCATCCTGCCTGCTAATAGATATATTTGATGTTTTAGGAAAACTTCACTAGAACTTCCAAAAAGCTTGAGGGGTTGAAAATAAGTAGCAGTTCGTCAGAGTAGGCAGAAGGTGATGGAAAGTGGGGTTCTTTATTTTATGAAAAACAACAATCCCCTCCCCACTGGAAAAAAAAAACCCAAAACCAGCAAAACAGGGCCCCTCTCCCCCCTCCAAAAACCAGAAAGAAACAAAACTGAACTGCTAGAAGGCCTGAAATGCTGCTGTGTTGAGTGAGGAGGATAAACTTCAAGGGAAAGGCCCAATGCACTGTCTAGCAGAGGAAATGTGCATGTTCACATTATCCTAGGTTGTTCAGTCATATTTTATAGCAAACATGAAGGGATGAAGAGAAATCACTTCAGAAATGGTGTGTATAAAATATTGATAATAAAAACAAAACTAAAGGGATGGATGACTGCAGAACAGAGGAGAGACAGAGAACAGGAACCAGTCAATCCACAGTGATTAAAGGAGAGGTATGCGAAGAAATGTGAAGAAATTTTGATTTGGGTAGAAGGTGCTTTTTTGGGTGTTGTTTGTTTTCAGATTAGCTAAATCAAGCCAGTCACTCAGAGACTGTTAAGTCTCAGAAGTACGAAGACCATGCAACATTTGTTTTGAAAGCATGAGGACCCATGTTCTACCTTGCCATATGGCTCTGCATGGAGATCCATGTGGAAAGGCAGCAGCAAAAACCTCTATCCTGAGCAATCTGTTGAATTCAAACAAAGATCAGGTGGCCCCATAGAGCTGTGCACTTTTGCCCTGTGCTGTTTGTTGACTTCCTCAGATTCCTCCTCCTGTTCCTGTTCCTCTCCGCTCCTCTGTTTCCTTACATGCATGTCCATTCATTCTTGTGCCCTGCTGCTGCATTCATCTTATCCCCATTTTGTTCCTGTTTCATGTCTCCTAAATAAACTTTTCCAACAAGGCAGCAAAACCATGAAGGGCAGTGCTTGTTGCTGTCACTGTGTTTGGCCTCTGCCTGTGTGTTTCAAGTGTAATGAGTTTAAATAAAATGTTATGAGGATAATAACTCCTCCAGCTGGTGAGCCTGGAGTTCTTCTCCATGTCTGGGGGGTTAACTGAGTGTTTCCCTGACATGGTAATGTTAACTTTTTATAGTCCTAGAAAGAGAAAAGCATTGATCTCTACTAACATTTATAACAGCCAAGCCCTGTTAAATTATGTGGCAGTTAAACTAACATCCATTATTGTAATGGAGTAATTCATAAAATATTTATTTGTTAACAAATTAAAAGCTGGAAGTATAATAAGTGGTGACTGACAAAGTTTTATGGAAAATACCATCATTCAAACAAACCTGATAATTTGTTGATGAAAGAAGCTGTGTGAATGTATTGTTAAAGCACTCATTAAATAGAGGAATTGGCTAATTGGTAATCAGCAATGTGTCCATATATCTCTACTCTGATTTCCAGGGGATTTCCATCCTGCATTTCTCCATAATAGTGTTGAAATCTATTGCTAGTCTAAAATAGCACTTAAATGTTTAAATACCTGATGTTAATTGTTGTGAATTGTCATGTCATTTCAGCTCTGACATTCCCACAGGAAGGCTTACCAGTCTCTGTGAATTCACTGTATCCAGTATGGAAACTACTTGGTGTTTTATTAAACTCTGACTTTAAAAGCTAAAATAGAGTCTAAATAGAGACTGCAAAGTTAGAAAAAAACAGTGGAGGGGTAGACTTGAAGACCATACATGGCAGAACTCCTGTGGCTCTGGGGCTTACGTCTCCCCTTTCGTGTCTCAGACCCTCTCTTTGTTTCTGTTTGCTTAGGCTCATAGAAATGTTGGATGTTAGGGACCTCTGAAGGTCGTCTACTCCAAGCTCCCACTTGAAGTGCCAGTGTCCCCAGCGCTAGATCAGGTCAGTCAAGGTTTCAGGTGACTCTTGGAAACATCCAGGGATAGAGATGCCACCCTGGAATCTCCTTTTCCCTCTGTATTACATAGGATCTACACAATCACACTAAGGCCGTGTAAGTGAAAGGCCTTTCAAGGTGAAAGGAATAAAGAAAGGTGATAATGAATGGCAAGTACAACTTGAGTGAGTAATGAAAAAATAAGGAAAGGAGGCAGCTTGAAAACTTGGATCCTGAAAGGTGGATTTCAAGTCTTGAGCTACTGTTGGTGTCGTTGAGGAATGCCTCCCTGAATGTGTCTTCTTCTAAGACCAGCAGCAATTTCATGCTAAGCTTCAGCATGAGCAAATGCTTGGGAAGGCTAATAACTCTTTTCTTGTAGCAATAGGAGCTTTTCTGCAAGCAGGAGCCTTGTGTCTGTCTGGCATTTTTATTACATCAGTTAAACCCAAGAAGTAATACTGACTTCGTGGTGGAAGTGTCAGAACCTGAAGCTGCTTTGTCTGTGTGAATGTTTTTGTAGGATAGAACTGATAAGAGTTTTTCTTAATAAATATTCTGATCTGCTCTAATTCATGCTCTTTCACAAGAAGATCCTTTATTCTAGGAAATAACATGGGAAACTCATTACAACCTGTAGTTTAAGACCCTAGTTTTTCTGCTGGAGGAACTATCAAAATGTAACATAAGCATGGCAATTGTGTGGGCTTTTTAATCTTACTAAATATCAAGTTTACAAACCTAGTGGTTAATTTATGGTTTTAAGGTTATCTTTGAAATGAAAAGGGACTAAGTTTATGTGGTTTTGGTTAAAGCTCCAATTAGAGATAAAAGAGCTTGAGATTCTGACACGAGATCTCTGACAGGAAAGCAAAATATAGAGACCATCAAAGTTTCTACATTTTGTGTCTTTTCTCATATGATTTATTAATTTTTTTGTAATTCCAATAAAAGTCAAATATTCCTCAGGAATTTGTGTTCTAGAACAGCTAGCAAGTGTTGATTCTGACTTGTTAATGAAAAGAATGAGGGGTTTTTTTTCCTGAAAATCTTAAAACAATTCTGAATAGATCATCCATTTAAAGTTTTTGTTTAACCTCATTTTTATATTTGCAGATTTTTCTGAGATAAATATGAAATTATGGGTGTAAACTTGCAGGCCATTGTCAAAATTGCCGAAACAGGCTTTCGGCTGTTTTAAAACATTTCAGACATGATCAGTGTTTTATTTTGCTCCATTGTCTTGGAGTTAATATTTATAACAAAGCATGTTCTAACTTCCTAAACCAAAACAGATTTACCAAGACTATTGTCTTTTCTTTGTTGAAAGAAATTATTTCCTGGTTTACATGGTTAAGGTTTTGACAGTATTCAGACTCTCACCTGAAAGTATGTTAATTTGTCACTTGAAACATGGGCTTCTTTTACAGGTTCCTGAAAGTCTGTGGCTCTGAACTAGTACGTCTTGAGTTGTCTTGTGGCCATTTCCTCAATGAAACATGCTTGGAGGTCATCACTGAAATGTGTCCAAATCTTCAGGAATTAAATCTCTCATCATGTGATAAAATACCACCTCAGGCTTTCAACCACATAGCCAAAGTGGGCAGCCTAAAGCGTCTCATTCTCTACAGAACAAAAGTGGAGGTAGGAACAGCTATTTTCAGCCTTTGCAATAAATATTTTCAGTCCTGATAAAGTTGGTTTAGGGTTTGTTTGGTTTTTTTTTTTTTTTTTTTTTTTCAATAATGAAGCAGTAAATTAGTATTTTGAGTGTCAATTCAGAGCTAAACTCAGAAAATCCAAAGGGAGTTTCAAAAACCTTAGGATGTTGTTTTATTTTCAGAATAGCTTTCGGCCTGCGTATTTTAATTTTTATGGTAGGTTGGTGACTTTTCACCACCTGTTTTAAGCAATGTGGTAAAATTACAAATTTAAAGTTTTTCATGTATTTTGAAGTGTACTCTAGGCAAACTGTATTGGCAAATATAATTGTGAAATTATCATGTTTAGTTAAACTTCCTTTAATTCTCAACATTCTTTCCTTTCAAATGATTTTCTAATTTCTAGATTCCTGCAGTCTTTGTATATTAGCAGTAATTGAGACAGAACACAAGTTTTATAAAAAACTTCTCATTTACAGTCTAAAAATTACTTCTTTTTACAGTTACTTGACTGCCCAAATCAGAGTTGTTACTGCTTGCTGCAACACATTTTCTCACTAAGATAGAATGGGTTTGTGTGCTACAAGTAGCTGAGAAGTCTGTTGTAGTTTGCTACGTTTTACAAATGTTGTATCCTTATAAACATAGCAGTTTGAATCAGAAGAATTCCATTCCCTCTCAGTAGCTACATTACTCATGTGTTACAACCTTGCCACCATGGTTTACCTGGAAGCTGTCCTACTTTTGTGTTGCAAAAGCTGTGCCAGAATGGGGGCAAACCCATGTTTCTGCAGGTGTTTTCCCTAGCTTCTAATTCTAGGTTTTAAGAAGGGTTTGGTTGTGTGTGTTACTTGTGTTTGTGCTTTTGGTGCACAGCAGTCAGGCTGTGACACTGGCTTTTGTGGGGTGTTAATCTGCAGTACAATGAAAGGAATGAAGCTGGAGCAGTAGATGTGCAAGGGACAGCTGAAGTTAAGACAATGATATTAAAGTCATAAGCAGTTCACACCTGACACACGTGTTAGTGTTAGCTGGGCCTTGTTGTCCTTTATTTGGTGAATCCTAAGTTTGTTTGTGCCCAGGTTCCAGCTAGGTGTCTGTAATGGAGTGGGTAACACAAGGTAATTAAATTGAAGGGTCTGCCTGGTGTTGAGTGGCGCTGACTGTGGGGTGTGCAGTCACCATGAAGCCAGTGCTCCTCAGTAACTTGTTACTTTGTGGTAGCTGCTCTCTTTATTGAAGCAGTTATTATTTTCTTCAAACCACAAAGAAAATTGGTGAGCCCTGCATTTTTTGAATAGAGCTGTATTGGTGCCTTGGGTGTATCTGTTCTGTTTCTACAATACTAGTCTTTTGTTAATATTGGATAAATCTCTTTATTTAATTTTGACTATTGGCTCTAACTCACAAAGTTTTTTCAGATCCAGGAAAGATCATTGTATCAGAGGTAGTGATTGTATAATTTTATTATTTTTTACTGTTGATTGATCAGAATCTTCTTGATTGTACTCGGGGAACTTCTGAAGTTTGAGACTTCATGCTTGTAATAATGCAGTAGATAAAATGTACTCTGAGGTGATTGGTAACTCATTCCTCTGCTGTTGCTTTGCTGAGCAGAGCTTGAAATTAGATTGAATGTAGGTAAATATTTCCTGACTTTGAAGGCCTTACATTGGGAAGATTCACTCTTCCCTTCCATGTGTATGGACATGCCTCTGCTTGTAGCTGACAAGAATATTCATTCATAATCAAGTTTATATAAGATTGTGCTTCCATTTTATATGTATGTATGAACAAAAGGCATTGTTCCTAATGAACAGTGGAAGAGAAATTTCTGGAAATTTAAACAGGTAAATTTGAGACAATGCTTGGGTGTTACTTGTTAATATGAAGGCACTTAACAATATACATTATGCATCACATGTCGAAAAATAAAAGGGAAAGAGTGAAGATGTGGCATAGGATTTGAATTAGAGCATTAGAGCTACAAAAGTTGCAGATTTGTATAAGAAACATAGTTCTCCACATGAGCTTCTCTTAGTGCAAATCTTTGGTTATCTGTACAAAATAGGATGCCATTCCTTCTGTACTTCTCAGCTGGTACAGAAATGCTTGCTAGTAAGTGGTGGCTATATGCAGAAAAGGATAGATTGATAAGTGTGCTGTCAAGTGATTGAGACTTCTCTAAAACTTGTCAAAGAGCTGTTAGTATTCTTGATTTTTGTAAAATTTCTACTGCTGTCTTCATTGTTGGAGCTTCTGAGGAGCAAACAGAGGAACAATGCTAATGATTAACCAGGAACTTGGCATTGTATTGTTGCCAACTGGGTCTGCTCAGTGAAAAGAATCTGAGGCTGTGAATCCACTAAGACAAAAATGCAAACTGATAACAAGTATGTGTTTATTATAAGAAAATAAGAAGGTGAGAAGCACAGAGCTGGTATGGTGCTCTGTTAAAGTTCTGTCTCAAAACCCCACAAGAAACCGAAAGAAAAATCTGTTAATTTCATTTTTAGACTGTTTTCCTAAATAATTCAGGGGCTTCCTTTTTTTCCTAAACCAAGCAATGAGCAAAATAAACTACAAAATTTTCATGTGTTAGAGCACATCTGGGTAAATAGTACCATTTTTTCTTTTGGTTGTGGATTTGGACATGTGATTAAATAACATAGGAGGAGATGAAGATTCTCCATCCTATCTGTCAGTATGTAAAAATGTTGTTTCTGATTTTGCATTATTATGCTTGATAAAAAATACAGCATTAATATTTTAATAAAGTAAATGGTATTTCTCCCATACACACTCCCAAGTACCTGTCCAGAGACAGGATTTTCTTGTAGTCTAAGTCCTGCTGTAGCCTTTTCCTTTACTTTTTTGCCTTTTAATACTAAAAAAGAGGAAAAAAGTTCTTTCAACATCTGAATTTGAAGTATTTGTTGTACTTTTTCCATGTATATGATTACTGTGACACTGACAGATAAATTCTAAAGAAGAACTCTGCTAAAAAATTGACTACTATTAATAATTTTTAGGTGCATAGATTTTGAGGACAGTGGAAACTTAATAAAATTAATAACGTTATGTTGTCTGAGCAATTTTAATTTAATTACAGTTTCTTCTTACTTTGGCTGTTTTCTTTGAATAGGTTTTGTATTTAAAAATGTTGCCATTGTTTCTGTAAACAAAGCTGGAGTTTTTAAGTGTATGTTTTTAGTGAAATGGGTGAGGCTGGTGTTTTGCTGCTTATTGTACTGCTACTTTGGAAGATTGCTGTACCTTCTGGAGAATGTTGTGGTCTTTGGTCTTAACCCAGCTCATTCTTAAGGCATATAATAACATATAATGTTATTTCCTTGACATACTGAGTGTGAGGTTGTGTGTATAAAATTGTTTTCTAACCTCTGAATTGAAGCTTCCAATACCTTTGAATGATTTCAACCTTTCTGTTAGAAGAAGGAAAGTCCAGTGACTTTCAGTAACTTTCCAATTACTAAAAAAAGTGTCCTGCATGGCTGTCCTCCTCCGCACCAAATGTGTCTCGTTTTTCCAGTGCTTTAAGTTCATTAATAAAGGTTCTTAAAGGTTGTTTGATTATGTATATGCTTGAATAATTTGTATCTTGCTTTGAGAAACAGATCTCAACTGTTTATAAATGTAATTTCTTTGTGCCCAGCACCACTGTTATACTTGTGGGATTTTTGTGCTGGTGGAATTAGTATTTACTGATACATAACTCCTTAATGTTTATTTGTTGAGAGTGTATTCACAGCATAATTTAAGCACTTGTTGGCCTTGATACTTTTGAAGAGTACAATGAACAATGGATTATTGTATACAGTAATTGGCAATGCACATCTTTATCCTTGAGCATGAATGTTATCTTAATTTAATGCTTATTTTGAAGTATTTAGTCCATATAAATAATGCAGCCAAAAATGTATTTTAAAGAAACCAAAGCCACAATTACAGCAGGAGAACTTGTCAGTCTTCTTACTGATGAGAGTAAATTTTAATGTAAGATTATATATTTCATATTGTATGATATTCTGAAATCTTTCCAATGTGTAAAGAAAAAAAAAATCAAGTTTGTATTGCAATTATATTTGAGATCCAAAATGAACTGAATTCAAATCTAGTTAAAATGTACAAAGGACTTTGTTTTTCACACATTTTAAAGCAAGTGTTGTGTTTATAGTTTTTGTCTTTGATAATTCTGACCAAAAGCAAGTTTGGAACTTGGGCAGCTGCAAGAAAGGGTACTGGAAATTTTGGATACCAAAAAGAAACAGAAGAATCATAGCAGTAAATGTAATAACTCTTATTTTCTTATACTGTGAACAATATAACAGTCAATGCTGCCATAAAAATGTCCTGCAGTGTTTTCAGAAATACCCTACTTTGGGTCACATCATACTTTTGAGAGCTGTTTTTTTAAGGGTTTTCAGTTTGGGCAATGTTCCATTGGCTTGGGTATGAATCTTTGGGATGAAGAGTTGCAAGCAAATATTAGGGGAAAAAAAAAAGGTGAAAAGCTATAGCTGGAATGTGTATTCTTGGAATGAAGTTGAGTCAGTGACAATCGTGTGATACTGGGCCTTGGTGGTGCTTTTTGATTTCATGTCAGGCTCAGAGTGTGGAATTTGGTTGTTTGAGCCTGTAATGTGAAGTGAGGGGAAAAAAATGAAGGTGTAAAACAGATTTGCAGATATAAGGGAGAACATAATTTGACGAAATAAAGCAAAATCAAAATACAGTAATTTAATTAACTGCAAAGAGTATTACTTTCATTAGATTAATTCCGTAATTGCTGTGTTGCTGTGTCCCAGTCCCTGCTGTACCCCTGGCACTGCCAAGTAGCTGTAGAGAACAAAAAGGTGCCCCTGTATATTCTGGATCCCAGCTTGTAACTTATACTGGGTCTGTTTCTGAAGAGCTAAGTTGTTCTGACTTTTGAAAGGCTACACCTGCACTCATTAATAAGGC